TTGGTGGATATTCTAAATCTACTTCCAACACATAGCCTTTGGAAGAATCATTTTCCACTGAATTATAGTCAAAATTTGTATCTATCCATTTAAAATTACCATATGGAAGGGGTTCACTCATGGCGGCTCCGTATAAGTTAGTAGCATCCAGATACATTATATAACTTTCGGGTTTCAAAGGATCAAAATTTGGTAAAAATGTATTATTAGCTTCAGCTTTTCTTTTACTACATTGAGCTACACCTCCTCTAATTCCTTTATTAAAAAAATGTAGCATGTCAATATCTGTTAGTAATTCTAATTCAATTTGAGTATATTTCAACATTGCATCCCAACTCAAAGAAGGTGCTGTCAAATATTGCGCAGGATCGAGTTTATATTCTTTCATTGACACTTTTCTAAAATTTTCAAACACATCTGCTAATAAAAGCACATCCGTTTTTAAGTATAGCATTGCGTAATCATTGAGAGTTTTACAATTAAAAATATCCCATATTTCTTTTGCCTTATCATAATCCATATCAGAAATTGATTCACCCTTCAAAATATTAAAAAAATTATCTTTTAATGGTAGTTTTTCTTCATTTAATTTTTGAAATGAATTTACATATGAATAAGGAAAAACTCCTTTGCATCTCATTAAATTAAATTGCTGGTCATTTGGGAAATATTTTCTAACTTCATTACATTGGTTGGATTCTAAAGTCTCACTAAGTTTATCCAGCGATTTTGCTAAAAATCGAAACGAATCAACAAATCGAAGTTTTATAAATGTATCCCGAACCTTAGGATTGTTAGATTTGTTAACCAAAATAGACTTTGAAAAAGAAATGTATTTTTCCTTTGTTTGAGCGATTGCTGATACGGATTCCTTTTTAGTTGTCAATTCCTTGATAAATAAATGACTATCATAGTTTGTGAGATTATGAAAAAACACCGGAATAAAATTTGGTTGTTTATAGTTTAAATTGCAGGAATTATGTGCTGCATTTCTATATATCCCCGATAGGTGGCAATGGTCACGAACTTTTTTGTTGGTCGAATTGAAAGGTTTTTCACAGATGTGACAGATGGTCGCTGTATCATATGCATCCTGTTCTTCTTGTGTAAGTGGTTGCATAACCTTAACATGCTTCAAATGGTTATTATACAAGTCATGGACGATTTCATCAAGTTTTTGTATAAACACTTTTGCAGCATTTGTTCCTGTATACATTTCAAGTTTGGATAAATTGTCATCATAATTACATTTAAGGTAGAATGCAAAAGAATATGGTTCGTGTTCACAGACTTTAACACTAAATGAATTACCATTAAAATTTTCACAATTGTCTACTGGTTTTAACAAAGATTCAAAGTCTGCATAAATTACAAACGGCACTTGTAATTGTTTTTCAAAGTTAGTGAATGTTAAAATATTTTCTGGTTTGTATTGGCCACACTTATTTTTTTTTATTTCTGTTGTTGGAAGTTCTGTGTATACATGTGTACAATCATGTTCTTCATGAGCTTTTAACTTGTTTATAGTTGTAAAAGATTGTAAACAACCATCACAAATATGTATTTTTTCAGTATGCTTTGTTTTCTGGCTTCTAACAAGTCGGGACAAGTCGGTAATAAGGCAGTAGTGATTGTTTCCATCTGTATCTGATACAAGCAATAAATTAACGTGTGTTGATTGTCGCTGTGAAGTAAAATGTAGTGGTCCCACAATTTCATATATGTTCTTACAATCTTTGTAATAAGACTCTATTCCAAATACGTTTACTGAAATGTTATTCATATTCTCGAATTTTTTTATGTCTTTTAGTTTTACTGGAAAATCAATACCTTGAAAATCTAACAGAGTATCGTAGTGCGGGTATGATGATGGGTTTTTGGGGTCACCCTCCGCAGGAAAAATTGCTGCATTTATGGACCAAGCAAAACAGGCGTTATCTTGATTTTCAATATTTATGACGGCATTTTTATTATTTATTGATATAGGGAGTTTTATGTATGAAGAAGCAGCAATACTATTAAATCGATTTATGTTTACATCTAAAAACATTATTTCCTGTAAACTCCAATTTGAGTCTTTCGTTTGGAATTCTGATGCTTGAGTCATAATGTCATGTTTAAATTCTTCATAGACTTCTTCGAGGTTGGATGAATATGAAATAATTTTATTTTCCGTATTCATGGATTTAATATCACTCATTTCTTTATCTGGTTTAACATATATCCCAAATACTTCCATATTTACTTTCAGGTTTGTGTGAAGTTGCAAATATTCACTGATTTTATTTAAAACTTTATGTTTGATATTATTTAAAAAGTCATTGTAATTGATTTTGTTTTTATTCGTGTTAGAAAATCTGTATGATGCGATACGATTTTTAAATGCGTAAGATAGTTTACTAACACCATTGTCGAGTACTTCTATGTCAATTGGTTTTATTCTCTTTTTTGGAATGGGGCACATGCAATCTACATCCCGTTGGTGCCGCTTCAAATTAAATTTATTTAAAAATACTTTACTGCACTTGTTACACTGCATGTTGCTCACTCACAATATTTTTGAAACTAGAGAGTTCGATGAAATGCAGACTTCTTTAATAATGAAATGAGAAACCAGTTTCTAAACAGTTGTTTAACTGGTTTTGTGTACCTGAATTTTAAAACGTGGGTAAGGATATGATTAAGGTTAAACAAACGAAGGTTAAACAAATTAAGGTTTATTCAGTAAAACATAATAATGCTGAATCATTAAACATATTTCGTTTCGGGTAGTAAAGCGCATGACCATACTTTTTGATTGACTCCTGATTTTTTTCTTTTATTTCTTTAATTATACGATCTTCATCTTTTTTATATAACCCTTTCGATTTGCATATAATGTTACCCTCTCCATTATAAGAATTATTTACGTTATCATTTTCAGACAAAGCTACAATCCATGCTGCTGATTCACAATTGGGTATTTCACAGCTTAGTTGATTACCATGCTCGCCATCATTCTCATTAAGATAAAATTCATCAAATTCCATGAAACAGATTGGGTTACTAATTATGATTGGAACGTCCATATCAATGGGATCATTTAACCAATAAGCGGCTACGACAGTTGGATATCCATATCCCTCAGAAACCGCAGACCATATATAAATTTTAATATTTTCACAATTACATTTCTTAATGGCTAGTGCCAATCGGTTTATCTTATATTCACATATTTCATACTTTTTACCGCAACACTCGAAAGTAACCTCAATGCTATGATCCCACCCCATTATTAATAATGAAGTTTTCTTAACGCTTACCTTTTATTATATTACCCCTACTCCCACTAACTAAATAAAAACTATTTAATTAAAATCTTTTATTTTTTTATAAATCTTATTTCTATGATTTACATCTAAAATTGGATTAATAATTTTTTCAGTTTCTTGAATACGACAACCAAACCTAATTCTGTCTATTATATCACATCTTCTAGAATCTCTGTAAGCAAATCCCCAGGCGATCATGTGGTGGACTTTATTTTGATCTTCTCTAAAAGTTACTCTCTTCATAGTTGTAAATCTTCATTCAACACCTCAGGGTGTAGATATATCAATTTTAAAGCCATTTCATAAACCATTAAATTTATACTTTTGATAGGTTCCATTATTTTGAGACCGTCGTTAACAATATCAACACTATTTTTAACACCTAGTTGAAGAACTTTTAATGAGCTTGCAAAGTCTTGATTTCTTAATAGATCCAAATGATATGTTATTAAAGGTAGAATATGCCAAAGCTTTAAAATACTGCACGATCCCAAATAAATGTAAGAATCTCCAGTAAATATTCTGATGGTATTGGATTTAGAAAACTGTTTAAATTCCAAAAAAAACTTTCCATGATCAATCGAGTCTCTAAATGTGGATGATTTTAAAAAATCATTAATTGTGTTCTCGTAAGAGAGAAAATCTTGCCACTCCTTTTCATTAAAGATTACAGAATCTTTATTGTTTCCAGATATCACAACACATGGTGAAAAATTATTATGGTGAGATAAACATACTACAACGTGTTTACTTTTTGAATTATTCAAATAAAACTTTTTTTCACCAACAAAAACATCGTTTTTGCGATTTGAAAACATTTTGTACTGATGTTTACAGTGAGTGCAACTTCTTTTAATATACCTTTATTCATAGAGGTGGGGGGCGTGCATTAAAAAAGATATTTATATAAAAGCGATTTTTTTAAGACATTCACTATTAAAATGGGGCTATATGCATATATCAAAGTTGATGGTGATTTTGTAGATGCTTACAACTGTACTGGTTATTTCTATAAAAAATATACTAGAAACAAATTCAATAAATTTTCAACAATAAATGTTTACTCAAAGGTGGAGAGCTATGGAAAACTACCACATCTTGTTATCAAAATACATGAAAATCTGTACGATGGCGCATTATATGACTGGTCTGATTTGAGTTATTATGAACACACAATGGTTAAAAAAATTGACTTAAATAATTACGCTCCTAAAAATTGTAATAAAATTATTTTAACAATTAAATTAGATTATTTATAAATATTTGCATTTTTTCTACCCTTCCTATAAATAAACTTGTTCTGGCTTATTTGTGTTTTTCCTAATGTCTAGACAGGTGTCTTAAGGTTATACCAAGGCATTGTCTCTTTATATTTTTTAAACCAGGAGGTCGTCAAACTAGTTTCTGAATATGAAGGCTATGAAAGGTTAATAGCATGTCTGCCCATGACTGGTTTCCTCCAAAGCCCCCCTTTCATCATATAAAAACCAGCTCATCATTGCCACATACATACTTTCTCACTAAAACTGGTTCATTAAAACCGGTTCATCATTGCCACATACAATTTCCCCCTACTAGTCACGAGGTGACAAATCAGGCTAATATGGTAGTTGTAGACACTCACAAACACTAAATTTAGTTACTTTACTTATCTCGTTACAATCAAATATATATCTATAATTTTTTTAGTTATTCGCAAAAATCTCCAGGTATTCAACAGTATCCTATATACGGCATATGCTCTACAACTGTACAAGTCGATATTCTTACTGGGATATATCAAATTTTGCAAGTTGATATCATTGAAGATTTGGGTGAAAGTATGAGTCCTTTAGTGGATATCGGCCAAATTGAAGGAGCATTCGTTATGGGTAAATATTAAGAGAAATAAATATCTTAACGATGTATTGCCTCTTCTAGGACTTGCTTACATTAATAATAGTTTCATAACCTCTTCTGTTGGTAGCGCTTTCTTCTGTCATATTAAAATATTTAACACCAATTTTTAATTTCTGTTTTTAACGCCTGATGAGGGTCACTTTGGACCGAAACTAATGCCCTATTACACCTTTTTTTATATAAACAGTTTAATATAAGAACTTTTTTCTTAACTTTTCATTTTATCAACATTTATTTTGTAGGTATCGGTTATTATATGACAGAAGAAATAATTTTTGACAAAGATGGACAACTTTTGACAAATAGGACGTGGACTTATAAACCACCTGGAGCCAAAGATATTCCGATCAATTTCAGAATAAAATTCGCAGAGAACAGTCAAAATCCTGTTGGTGTTCTCAAATCAAAAGGTTTTGTATTATTTATTTATTTAGTTCATTTATACTAAGACACTAATTAATTTATCTAATTTATATATCATTTATTTATTCTCTAATTTATATGGACAATATTTATGTGTACTGAAAAATCTTTCAACTTAACCTATCTTTCCAACTTCAAAATATTTATCACAAATCCACCATTTTCTAGAATAGACCAAACTAAGTGCTTTCGTTAAAAATTGTAAGATACTTCATTGAAAGGTCTAGTACATTACAGAATTATTATTAATTAAAACTAAGGCAGAGAGGGACTTAAGAAATTAGAGGATGTTTGGACTGGTCGCAAATGGCTCGTATAACAATAATGTATGCGTTAATTTTCATTTATAAACAGGCTCTGAAAATTTCTTTTTTTTTTTATTGTAAATATTTTTATAGCTGTTGCTGAACCGCCTCTATGTCTTTCTATAGCTGTCCCGTTAGCTGTAAGAAACGCTTTAGCTTCAGCTAGACAGGAGTCTGATACGAATAGTCAAAAATGGATACCGTTCGGTAAGAAAAAGCAAAATATTCTGATTCTGATTTTGTTTATTTACTCAATCACTCTTTCAGATGGGCCGACTACAGTTGAAAAAACTTATATGTATTCGTTAAATAATTACAAACAATATATTTTGAAATAGTTTTAAATAAACCTATTTTGTAATGGATGGATGATATCACACTATCCTACCACAGAAAATTTAAACTTGATAATCTTCATCTATATTATTGTAAATATTATCTTAGAACTTTGAGTAAATTTATTACTATTGTTGTTATACCTAACATGATTGTAAATATGACACATGAAATAAATATGTGATAATCTTTTTTTAGGGAGATTAAATTATTTGTATTTTATACCTATATATTTTATTTGATTTTCTAAAACTCTACAAATAATTCTCAGAGCCATAGTCACAACAATATATGTGTGGCCGTTTCTCCCATGGCTAATACCTCACCAGGTATTGAATTACGTCGAAAGAAAATAGCAGAGATAGAAAACATTTTCAACACTCTACCTTTGATTTTGCCCACTAAATAGAAAGTCATTCTCCGATCATTTTTGCAAAAATACTGTAAATTTAATATTCCAGAGCAAAGTATATTACGCAAACGTGGTGTTGACAGTTTGTACATTGAGACTCGTGAAAAAATTCGTGAGATTACCGTTGGAAACCATTTATACATTACTGTGGATGAAACAACAGACTCTTGTGGTCGATATATAGCCCATTTAATGATAGATTCATTACGCGAAGAAATGCAAATTGGTCCATATCTAATCGCTTCAAAGCTATTAGATAAAACAAATAACTTGACAATAACTCGTTTTATCCAGACAGAATTGTCTTCCTTTTTTCTTCCGGAAGCCATTCCAACAGAAAAATGTTTATTGCTGTTATCCGATGCTGCCCTGTACATGGTAAAAGCCGCACAAAATTTAAACATGTTTTATAAAAACTTAATCAGAAGAAATTAGGTTTAACTTTCCTTTAATAAATGATTTAATTAGTAATGTAAAAAAAATATTTCTTAGAGCTCATCTAAGAACTCAATTGTACAAAGAAAAATTTCCTGAATTACAGATGCCACCGGAACCTGTGATTACTCGGTGGGGCACCTGGCTTAAAGCTGCCTTTTTTACGCAGATAATTATAAAAAATTAAAGAAATCATATTTGATTTTGTTGATTCATCTAAGGGAATATCTAATACAAAGAAGTTGTTTCAAAATAACATATTACCAAAGCAATTAGTGTTTTTAAAAAATTATGCATTTGTACCCAAAATTATATTAGATTTAGAACAAAAAAATTTACCTTTGGTGACTTCCGTAAATTAAATTAAGACGTTTGAATCAGAGTGTAAAAATGTCCAGGGCGATATTGGAAAGACGATTTTTCATAAATTTTCAAATGTAATTTTAAAAAAATGAAGGATTTATTGTTTTAAGAAATCTTGCTAATATTATTCTGGTAACTTTGAAGATATTAATACTATTCATCCAGATATTTCAGGAAAATTTAAGTTTGCACCTATTACTTCTATAGATGTCGAAAGGAGTTTTCTTTGTACAAGTACATACTTACTGTCCTTACTGATAGGAGACAATCATTTAATACAGATAATTTAGAAAAACATCTAATTGTTCATTCGTTTTATAATAATGTTGATTTGTAAATAAAATTAGTTAATAATTAAATAATTATTAAGTATTATATTAGGTATTGTAAAATAAAACAAATAATAAATATTAATAAACTATTTCGATCAAATAACAAATTACTCTTATTGCATATGCTCTGCATATTTTTCAATTTTTTACGCATATATTGAAGTATTTTGCGGCATATATATGCGCATATTTAACTACTTTTTGGGTGCATATATTCCTAGGTCTATTAATATCAAGTGAATTATTAAAGTAACAAATTACGAACAGAACAACAATACACAATTAGTATTACTTCAATTTCAAAAATTCACAAACTGACAGCTTGATTTCAATGTAATTGTCAGTATCGCTAATAGCGGCCTACTAGATAAATTAGGTTCGTATTTTCGTTTTATGGCGATATCTATTTTGTTCGTAAAATAATTTTTTGTTGCGAACTGGTTTATTTTGGGCAAAAAAATCAAGAGACGTTTTTTGTTTAGAATGAAACAGGCTATCAGAAATAAATTTTTAAATGATAAACAAATAATGAGACAAAAAGTTACGTTGGAACGAAATTTTGGGGTTGCGTTTTCCACCCATTACAACCATGGGGTAAACCAAATAAATTACTGGCTAAGTGTCTTTTTGGTAGTAGAAAATGTCAGGTTAATTTGAATATTGTAACTTGTTTAGTGCTTGTGAAAAAAATTGTATGTACCCCCTTTAAGGGGCTGTATCTTAACAAGGGATGCTCCAATGAAGTTTCTTTATATGAAAGATCCTTTTTTTTTCGATAAGGAATCACCCCTTTAAATGTTTTACACTTATTTGATTACACGCTTTATATGTGCGGCCGTTTCTCTTTCGACAACAACTACTCCTTTGGCTAATACTTCACCAGGTATTGAATTACGTCGAAAGAAAATAGCAGAGATAGAAAACATTTTCAACACTTTACCTTTGATTTTGGAAATTGGAAATTGGTATTGCAATCAGACTCCATTAGAGACTGGAGTCGAGAATTTCTATTTCTTGCTGAAGAGTCCTAATAAGGACGAAACCGGTTCAGGAATGACTTTCGACGTAATTCAATACCTGGTGAGATATTAGCCAAAGGAGTAGTTGTTATCGAAAGAGAAACGGCCGCACATATATTGTTGTGACTATGGCTTTGAGAATTATTTGATGTATTTTATATCTAGTCACATTTGAGTATAGAATTATTTTCTTTTTTACCTACTATAAGAGTTTTCAATAGATACAATCTTGAAAATAACATAAATTAAAATAAATCTAAGTTGACCCTAATGTAACCTATAATTTTATTTGTATTTAATTACTACTTGAAATTATAAAAGTTCAAAAAATACTGACTGACCCATAAAATAGACCCAACCGAACTCAACTTTATTTGACCAATCTTTTCAAAATGAACTTAGATTTTATTCGAAGGGAGTTCGACATTAGTTGTTCTTGTCCACTGCGACCTTATTAGATCTATTATTGGACTATAGTCCACCGAAATTGGACAAAAAATTACCCTGGAACGATCATTTTTAGTACAGCAAGGTTTTCACTTTTTTGGCTCCTGTTATGTTGAGACAATCTTCTTTGAATTTGTCCTTGTTTGCGGATAACTGTCAATTTTTGGGTTTTCAACAGGGCTGGTATATCTAAGGGGGTCGCGACGTGGGAGTCCATTTTGGACGCCATTTTTTTCGAAATAGTAGTCACATATAGTAGTCGCCATTGATCTGGCAACGTGGCAACTTGTAGTCGCTAGGTTTACCAATATAAGAAAAAAAATAAATGTCATTTCTTAAATGACATTTCCATTATAAAATGCCCATATTTTTTAGGATAAAATATTTCAATTTAATAAATTATTAATCTCAGATGTACATAAAATACGTCGGGAAAAGTAGATCACTTTCAATTTTGTGCTTTTTTAGTTTTGTTTATTTTAAAAGGTAATTGAAGAGATGAAGACAATTTTCTTATAGATGATGCATAACAAATTATTGCTCCCTTTTTAGAGCTCCAGTCCCTTAAGTCTATTTATTTTAGATCTTTTTAAATTGTTAGTAGGTATTATTTACTTCATTTGTATGTTTTTAGTTAATTTGAATAATTTTGTGTAATATCTTGCGATTTGTTTTCTATACATTTTAGCATGTATTTGTTGTCTACATCTTACAAAGGATGGATTTGAAATACCTTTACAACAGAGGTACTTTCCTAAAACTGGCCGAAATTTGAAACTGAATACAGTTCTTAGAGAAAATCTCCAGTAAAAAATGTCTGCATGCAGAATAACAGTAGCATAGATTTACAAAGCTGACAAAAGAGTTGGACAAACCTTTGTCTAGCTTTTTTAATATTTCAGGACAATAGTGTTAACAGCAGACTACAACAAAAACATCCAAAGTTTAGTAATCAAGCAAAATATTCCGGTATCTATATTTTTATTCAAAACTTTTGTGCTTCTACTCCAATACTAACCATATAAAAGCATATGCATTTTATAGTATTTGCAAGATTCGGATCAAATGTACCCACAATTTATAAAAATTATTAAACTAAAATAAAACATTTCAAATAACACCTGCTTTTATGTTAAATATGTTTTTATTAAATACATAAATTAGTCTCAACCACACATTTTTTTTTGTTTCTACTTCTAGTGTAAAAGTGACTACTAATTCAGTCTTTCAAGTTTATTATTTATAGAGACCAGCTACTACAAAATATCTTATTGATGATAACTAATTTCTCTTTAATAATGGTTTTGCATTTATTAACATTTTACAGCACTTTATTTATATGAAACCTCTATTTAACTCTTAATTAAATCACATTTAAATCAAGTAATTACATTTTCATATTCAACTTATGTATTCTTATTAGAACTTGGTCACTTTTTTTACTTTGAATCTTTTGACTGTGGTAACAGTCCATTCACCAAACCACAAAGTCACTTAAAAATGTTGAAAGAGAATGTCATAAAGGTAAAATTCCTTCTTCTATAATGTTTTTCATGCAATTTTAGGTTGTAAACTTTTTTACAATTTATCCCAAGCAACACTATGAAAGATTTAAATCCTGGATTTACAGTATTCAGTTTTGAGATGAGTGCAATCACAATGTAGTTTAAGAGATAATTTTCACATGAACACTTATTTACCACAGCACAAACGCATGTACCTATTCATGTAACATTAAAATAAAGTGGAAACAAATTGCATAATTTGGTATATAAAAAAGTACAAAATGTTTTTAGTTTTAATTCGACATTGGACTACGAGGAAAACAGTGGTTCATTCCACTTGTACCATATTAACAATATTAACATTATTATGCACGATGCTCGTTCAAACGAACGTCAGAAAAGTGTTGCCAACTTAAGCTGACTACTATTTCCCCCCTAGCCTCAGTCACCCCCTCATCCATTTACTGGGTCTATGTCGCGACCCCCTTAGATATACCAGCCCTGGGTTTTCGGTACCCAGACAACTGCATTGATGTTAACATAGATTTTATGGTGGGCATGTAAGACCATGTGACGACTCTGTGGGAGCCATCCCAGATGCGCCCTCACGGTTCGGCGGCATTGTTAAGTTGCTGATAAAGGTAAAACCTAGGTATTTCATCTCTGTTGCAACGTTTAGTTTTGTTTTTAGGAGCTCTGGAAGTTTCAATTCTATTTTCGTTCTTTTTCTTCTGAAAAGGGCCATTTCTGTCTTCTTGGGATTGATAGACAGTAAATTATCTTACACCATTATTATATAAATTTGAGAGCTACTGGCATTCTTCCTCAGAGTATTATCAAAATTCTCTGTTTGCAGAACGACCATGTCATCTGCATACGCTATTGTGTAGTGACTATCATTATTGAGGCGGCTGATGAGAGTGTCGAGGACCATGTTCCACAATAGAGGTGATAGCACCCCTCTCTGTGGACATCCCCTCGCAACCAAGCCTCTTATATTCACATCTTCTACACTTATGTTTACTGCTCTCTTTAAGAGCATATTATGTATCCACCCACTAACCATCTGTGAAACATTCCTGTTGGTTAGTGAGTGTATTATCTTGGGGAAGGTGGTTTTATCAAACGCACCTTCTATATCTATGAAAACATCCAAGACGGACTCATTGTCCAGGGACCTTTCTATCCGGCCAGAAACTAGCAAATAATAATAACACACTTCAAGTCAAGAATCACGACTAAACTAGTTAAACTGGCAAGCTATGTATGTGTCAAGTGTCAAGCGCGTTGAAATTGAAATGACAGTTGGCCGGGTTACCCCCACTCCATTTTTTTACCGGAACAACTTTGTCACTTCTCTGTGATTGTTATTCTAGACCCGAGGTATTTGGCTTGTAACAAATGCAATAACCATGTTGTTTAGTATTAGTGGTCTTAGTTCTGTAAGTACCTATTTTTTTGTAAATGGTATAATCAAGGGTATAATTAAAATGAACTTGGGCCGAAACTAAATTGATTCAGACTTTGGAAACAATGTTTTAATGGGCTACAGTTTAACGGTGTTGCTATTGAAGCTGTACCTCTAGCTGTAATATAACAGACCGGAGCTCAGTTCGTTCCGATTTTTCCAGGTGATCTTCATACTGTGCACGTGAAATTATACACATATTCAATTAAAATAGTACAGGATTCGTAAGTAATGTCGACCTTCACCCATCTGTTTAATGGATGAAAGTTTTTTTTTAATAAATAAAATATGTTTAATGTTTATAAATATACCGCAAATGGCTTGCCTAAGAAAATACGGTCACAGCCACTTTCCTTTCTGTATACAGATAAGAAAAGTATAGGAATCATAATAAAAGTTGCTTGTGATCCTCTATAATTTTGGTTCTATGCATGATTTCTCTAAAATGGACCTAATTCGGAATATTTGAGGAAAAGTGCAAATATCGAATTTTGAAAAACAGATAAAGAGAAAAACACCAAATTTTAAACTTAAGCTTTAATCTATCCTGCGGTGAGCTGATTAAAGTTTGAGCATAGTGTAAGCATCTGGGGAATATTTTACAGGGTGTAATTTTTTTTTTACTTTAAGAAAATAAATAGTCATGACCGTATTTTCTTAGGCAACCCATTTGCGGTATATTTATAAACATATTTTATTTAATAAAAAGAAATTTTAATCCTTTAAATAGATCTTGGACTTAAGTGAATTAATCTATTCACATTGTATTGTTAAAATATTTCTTTTCATCTTTAGTTTAGTCTGTTGATCGATTTTACACTGTTCAGTTGAAAAGAGTATTTTGTAGTACATGAAAATAAAAGAACAATGCAGTACTGACAATATGAGGATTTGATTATGTGGAGATCAATGACAAGATTGGCATTTGGTACTGATCAAAACAATAATACCTACAAATTTTCTAGCTCTAAGTTTAGTTAGATACAGAAAAGTTAAAAAAATTAAAATAAACATTAAATTAAATAATTTATTTTCACCTAAAATAAATAAGACGTATATGTACATAAAAAATACTGATATTCAAGGTATTTTGGTAACGATCCAAGGTAGCCTTCCAGATTTCTTGAAATGATAATAATCGTAAGCCAATTTTCCCAAAATGAAAATTATTAGGCTCGCCAAGACGGCATTCAGCAAATCCAAACCTTCTTGTAATGAAAAATCTGACGGAACCATACAAACTGAACTCCTTGACAAATTGATTATCTAAAACAAAAGGATTTTTCACCTTCAAGATTACAAATTTACGTTTATTATTTTATTTCATACTGTCCACGACTTTAAATAAAATGTTAAATGAGTTATTTAACACTAGGTAGTCTTAGGGTATGGTCTGTTATTAATGAAATATCGGTAACTCGGTCCCTAACCGGTCTGCTTGACATTCCTGAAAAATCGGTTAAATTAGGGATGCGGTTACCTGAAAATGGTGACTCAAACGTCAATTCACTAACCGCTATATTTTTACGCAGATCTCTGTTTTTACGGTTACTATTGTCGAATGTCAATCTGTCACAAAAGTGACGTAAATCTCGATCGTGGTCCAAAAGCAATTAGTTTCTTTCAGGAACGGCTGTCAAAAAATCCTGGTTACTTGCGGTTAGTAGTCGGTTAATAACGGACCATACCCTAAGTAGTCATTTTGTTAAAAAATCATGTTGATAGAATATGTATCCGATTTTACCCCCTACTAACTATAGCCCAGTTTCAAACCCGATTTTAAAATTTGTTACCATGTTGACCTTTGTTGTATGTTATTTGTTTAAGGGATTTATCGATCTAAACAGTCTACTAAAAAAGCGGTGTTGCTTTTTTTATCATGTTTCTGGCATAGATTAGGGACATAACACATACTTTGATTTTCTCTTACTATACTGAGAATGGTCGCAATGCGCAGCTTTCTGAGTGCCTTTTAAAAGGAGATAGAAAACTCCGCCATTTTGATGCCTTATTACGTGTTGCCTACATCTTGGCGCAATATTTTTAATAGATGCGTTTTAATCATCCGCTTCTGCTTCGGAATTGTCGGTTCTCTTGTTTTAAAAGGAAAAACTTGTATTTCGTGCAAAACTTTTTTATTAATCAATGCAAAGCGCTTTCGGCTTATTTGCCATCATCAGTGCTCATCTACAAAAATTGTGGATGTAAACTTACAATTTAAAAAGATTTTAAAAAATATATTATAAAATCTGAATTAGACTTTTAAGTCAAAAGTTAAAATAGTATATATACAATTGTTTGAACAAATTAAAAATTACAAGAAACAAACAAAGTGACAAAAAACTGGTATTGGGAATAGTGAGTGTGGGATAAGCCCTTACAAATCAAATCTGATCTCCAGAAGCAAGTTAGCTTGTGTGGAATTAAGGAATCATGCCACCCTCACTATTCACAAAATTGAAAAAAGGTTAACAAATTAGTTAAAATTTGAAGAAATTTACAATTAGAGGGTGACTGTGGAAGATATATTGAAATTTGAATCTAGAATACAATATTTGATATGAAGAAAGTAAAACGCAGAAGGCCAAAGTAAAAAAACTGAAGGTTTTTTTATATATTTTATATACATCATAATTATGAAAAAGTCTACCTACTGTCCACAACGTATCCAACAAGTTCCTGGTCATCCTCACTCCCAAAATTATATATTTCGGGATATTTACAACTTGCTAAATCATAATTTTATTAATATTAATATTTTCAAATTTAAATTTCTCTCTTCATTTTGGTTCAAGTTGTTTAACCGTTTCCACATGACAGTGGTGACAAGCGACACTTGAAGACTTTGACTTGTAAAATGTCAACAGAAGGAGGTGCGTTCACCTCAGTGTGGAACATGTTTCTCCGAGTGTGATTCGAGTGATTGGAGGTTAACGGAGATCAAAATTTGTTATTGAATTTAAAGATTTAATTTATTGTTAGTTAAATTTAAATAAATGTTTAATATAAATGATATTATTATTTTGATGTCAAGACAAAACAAAAATGTCACTCGCGTGATTCTGATGTGCCAGCCCGGGCTCTGCAGAACATTCTTTCAGAGAACCCAAGATGGCACAACTGAACCCGCGGTCCCTAAAGGTGAATCTGATGTTTAGTCCTAAAAATTACTAAATCACTCAACAAGCGTACTCATGGTTAAAAGAGACAAAATAGAGAACAAAAAAGTTCTTTTTTTGTCTACAAGTGTCGCTTGTCACCACTGTCATGTGGAAACGGTTAAACAACTTGAACCAAAATGAAGAGAGAAATTTAAATTTGAAAATATTAATATTAATAAAATTATGATTTAGCAAGTTGTAAATATCCCGAAATATATAATTTTGGGAGTGAGGATGACCAGGAACTTGTTGGATACGTTGTGGACAGTAGGTAGACTTTTTCATAATTATAATGTATATAAAATATATAAAAAAACCTTCAGTTTTTTTACTTTGGCCTTCTGCGTTTTACTTTCTTCATATCAAATATTGTATTCTAGATTCAAATTTCAATATATCTTCCTCAGTCACCCTCTAATTGTAAATTTCTTTAAATTTTAACTAATTTGTTAACCTTTTTTCAATTTTGTGAATAGTGAGGGTGGCATGATTCCTTAATTCCACACAAGCTAACTTGCTTCTGGAGATCAGATTTGATTTGTAAGGGCTTATCCCACACTCACTATTCCCAATACCAGTTTTTTGTCACTTTGTTTGTTTCTTGTAATTTTTAATTTGTTCAAACAATTGTATATATACTATTTTAACTTCTGACTTAAAAGACTAATTCAGATTTTATAATATATTTTTTAAAATCTTTTTAAATTGTAAGTTTACATCCACAATTTTTGTAGATGAGCACTGATGATGGCAAATAAGCCGAAAGCGCTTTGCATTGATTGATAAAAAAGTTTTGCACGAAATACAAGTTTTTCCTTTTGAATCTAAACTACGTGCACACAGCTGTCAACCCTTTTTTGGTTATTTTAATTTTACTCTTGTTTTAATCTGACAGGTTAAAACGACCAAACCGACAATTCCGGAAGCAGAAGCGGATAATTAAAACGCACCTGATATTTTGCTTGTTGCTGTCAGTGTCAGTCACATACTTTGATTACTATACGAGGCAAGAGAGAGGTCCGACACGCCCAACATAGGGTGCGGCCATTTTGAACCCTGTGACACAGTTTACAGCTAAAGAATTAGATCGCAGAAGCGGATGATTGAAACGCACCTATTAAAAATATTGCGCTAATATGTAGGCAACACGTAATAAGGGTTCAAAATAGCGGAGTTTTCTATCTCCTTTTAAAAGGCACTCAGAAAGCTGCGCAGTGCGACCATTCTCCGTATAGTAAAAGAAAATCAAAGTATGTGATGTCAGTAAATATTATTATTGGAGTTACAGTTTATTGCTAAAAAATCAGTTAGCTCATTCGGACCAGTTGAAAGTTCCAAAATAACATCCACTCCCCCTATACAAATTCAGGATGCGCAGAAGACTGCTGTTTTAATATAGGCGGTTGCCATATATTGTATTATCCGAGTTGCGCAGTGTATAAACTGGAACATTGAGATCAAAAGTGCCGACGCAGAGTGAGCGAACTGATTCTTTAGCTATAAACTGTGGTAAAGGCATCAAAATGGCCGCGCCCTATGTTGGGCGTGTCGGACCTCTCTCTTGCACCGTATAGTAATCAAAGTATGTGGGACATAAAGATAGGAAACGTAACGACCGCAGCAACGGTGGCGTCATCTATGCGTCTCAGATGTTAACTAAAGGTATACGTCGTTTGTAGACAGACCAGTGTTGCCAAATATTTTTCTGGAGAGATCGTACGAGTAGAAAAATTGTATTTCGACAAAAAAATCATACAATAGGTACATGTATAGCATAATATAACTTAAATGAAATAAAAAAACTTTGGCATATTTTATTTATCTATTTATAAAAATCTTTACAACAAAAAAGAAAGAAAATACATGAAATTTTAAATTAACACATTTAAAATAATCAATGACTGTCACTTGAAAGTGATTGAAATTTTGCAGGCAATCTTTTGTTATGCCGTGATAGTCGGTGTTGGTATAAAATCACCATTGTCAAAATCACAATAAGAAATTACGAACGGCCTATGAATCTTTGAAAGTAGTTTTTGATTTTTATTGTTTTATGTTCTGAAGTTTTTGCAGATATTTAAATAAACCTACTAAAAAAGGGAAGATCGTATTTTTACGTACGATCTCACTGATGCAATCATACATCGTACAGTTTTTTTTTTATGTACGGCTTCAACGTCTGTCATTAGCCTAGTGTTCTATGTAGGCTATGGATTGTACTAGTAGGTAGTCTAATACTCCATAGTGCAGGAGTATTAGTACTCTAATACTCCTACACCCCTACAGACAGGCCTTGTTACTATTTCCTTGCGCCACTTTAGAAACAGCACTGATAATTAGAACCCAGCCAACCCAACAGTGAATGGTCGAGTGGGGAATTCTACCAAGGCATCAGAATTAATTTTAAGTAATTAAACTAAATAAAAAAATCCCTGCCAACGATGGGATTCGAACCTGAGACACTTGGGATCCACAATTAGAGACTCTACCACTGAGCCACCCACCCCCCTCGTACAGAGAGTTAAAAAATCGTAAAAAATACGATTTAAACCATACGGTTGGCAACACTGAGATAGACAGTAGACGTGGACAGCAGTAGACAGTTTGTAAAAATAAATGTCAGTTAGTTTTATGCATATCGAAGAATCCTGAATTTAAATTTTAAATTTTGAGTTAATGATTGTGTTATCCTCCATATGAACTAAGCGTAATGGCTGTGGCTGTTTTTGTGTATAATTTGAGGACAATAATTATATTTTGTAATATTACAATAAGTCGGAGAACATATTGCATTAGTAACACAAGCCACGTGAATAAATTTAACAACTCCAATGTGGCGTTCTTTAATTAACCAAAGTGAGATCCAGTCATGTAAGTAACACAAATAGTAACCAACTTTTTTATTTATTATTTATTGTTTTAGAACAAGAAAATGGCTTCAAAACGTATTTCATATGGGAAAAAAAAATCTGAATTTCCATTAATGAGTTTGCACTCAACATTTTTAAATAAGACACCATTGGCCATTCGTTTAAAAAATAAGAACAAAAATGTAATGTTACAAATAACGATCAAAAATTAAAAAATATTTGTCATGAATAGATTTACAATAATTAATCGATAATAGACTGTAAGTGTAGTATTCTTTTTAATAAATAATTTAGCGTAATTACATTGATTAAATTTATTTACAAGAATATGAGAGTGCAGTCGATATTTATACAACCTTTATTATCAGGTTTTTAAATTTGCCGCTGCGTTGTTTGATATCGATGAAAGCGCCACATAGTGAGTAAGATGTTATCTGCGTTAAAGCTGGTCATTGTTAAGCATTGGCTTCTTATGAGCATTTCCTATCTTTATCTCCCTTATCTCTGGTTTCTGGTTAATTATTAATCGTACTTACCATTAAATCATGCGGTGTGTTGTTGTCAGATCTAATCTACAAATTTCCCCAAATTTAGGAAAAAATCAATAAAAGTGTACCTAAGTTTCTCATCTTCTACTATTACTAGCCTATACTATCACTGTTATTATTATTATTACTAAACAAATTGTTTAATTTAGAGCACTGCCGCCGAGAGCCAGGTTGGGCCGAGCGAAAACAATTTTGTAAAAACATTAAGCCCTTTCAAAATCACATTTCTAAAAATAAACAAAAAAAAAAACATAAAAAAACAAAATAAAAATAAAAAAGTCTTTAAGCAAAAATTTCTCCTATCTCCTCCTCTTTAGTCAAATCTCTAAAAAAAGAAGGTCCTCAATCAAAAACTTATCCTTTCTCCTCCTCTTTATTGAAATCTCTAAAAAAAAGGTTCTCCCTATTCTGCTCTTGTGGCGAACGTCCTCACCCAAAGCTGTCGGGCCCCCCTTATGCCGCTGCCGGGCCCCCACTTGAGCCTGGGCCCCGGAAATTAGACCCAGTTACCCCCCTCTCGTCGGCCCTGATTTAGAGCACTGAAAATTAACGTAATTAAATAAAGGCCATTTTTCGGACTCAAAGTAATACCGTAAAGTTTCTTTTGCTGGACAGTATGAAATAAAAGAACATTAAAAAAAAAATTGTTCTAAAATACTTACTGCTGACCAAGAATTTTCATCGCCCTCTACATATTTACATTTTACATCACTGATATCCGCTATTCTATTGGAATACTTTTGCAGAACGTATTCCTAGAAATTAGACGACACATTTTTAAAATTATAGCAACGAATCAAATATTACCAACCTGAAATGTCGGTACAAAAATACAGTCGCACCTCCAAGGATTATTTCCAAGATATAGCACTACAGCTCCAGGCATATTTGGATTTTTCATCAGTGCGTTGTCTAAAGCAAAAGAGGGTACCTTAAAAACATGAAAACAAAAACCAATATTACACCATATCTATACTATAAAACACAATTGTTATTGATTAGTTTTAGTCATTTTGTATTTTTTATTAGGTTGATCTCTGGTAGAACAATCTACAGGATTAAATGCAGTTGGTACCCACTTCTACATGTCTCTGTCATAAGGTCTAAAATCTTCTGTATTCTCTGTTGCCAACGAATTGTTTAAATTTAATTTTATGAGACATAAACCATGAAATGACAATCGTAGAGTCTGTCCAAAAGAAAGTGTCATTGATTTTTGCCTCTAGATATCGTTGAATGCGATCTGCAAGTTTACTACTTAAAAGGGCTGCCTCTAACTCTAGCCTTGGTATCGTTATTTCTTTTAAAGGGACAACCCTTACACTTTGACGACAAAAATGCTACCTCTACACCTCGTTCACTTTCTATTCTTTAGTAAAGTACACAAGCATAGGCTTTAGTGCTAGCATCAGAGGAAGCATGCAATTGTATAGAGGTAGCATAAGGAGCATTTAATGAATAACGGTTATTAAGGTCATCTGCTTGGGTTTTCACATTTATTAATCGGTGTCGCAAAGATCACTTCCACACACAGAACTTAACTGTGGAGGAATTGCATATTGCAGAACAAGTATGATGGAAAATGTTGGAGTTCATATCATTTTATGATGAAATTCAGTCATTAAAAACTAATGGTTCTGTAGATAGAAATAGTAAAGTTTTTAAATTAAATCCTTACTTGGACGAATTTGAGATAATGAGACTTAGAAATCGAATTGATACGAATCTTCTAGCATTTGATAATAATTCTGTTATACTTCCTTCAAAAAACCACTTTACTGAACTACTTGTTGATTTCTATCACAAGAAATTTAAACATCAGGGTCGTAAAACACAAATTAATGAAATTAGACAGTTATATTGGATACTGGGACTAAATACTTTGGTAAAAAAGATTTCTAAAGACTATCAGTTTTGCAAAAATTGAAAGTCAATTCCAGAAATTCCTTGTATGGGAAATTTGCCAACTCAAAGAACCACTCCTTACATAAAACCATTTACATTTTGGACCCTATTTAGTAAAAATTGGAAGACGACGAGAAAAACGCAATGGAATTTTGTTCACATTTCTCACTATTCGCGCCATTCGTATTGAGAGCTAATTCCGATTTCGCCATTATGGCCATCTAGAGAATGTGTTTAAGAAGACGCCACCCGTTAGAGCTTTTAAGTGACAATGGTTCTAATTTCAGAGGAGCTGATAAGGAAATGCAGCTAGCTCTAAAAGAATTTGATCAACAAAATATATCTGTCAACTTTTCACTTAATGCTATTAAGTGGAATTTAAATCCACCAACAGCAAGTCATATGGGTGGAGCTTGGAAGCAGATAATACAATCCGTTAAGTCAACTCTCAAAATTATATTGAAAGAACAAGTTCCTCATGAAGAAGTTTTGCATACTTTGATATTGGAAGTTAAGAACACAATAAATTCTAGACCGCTGACTGATATTACCTTAGATTGCCAAGACGAAGAAGCCATCACTCCTAATCATTTCCTTTTGGGGCCGTAGTATAATGCCAGCCAAATACATCTACTTACAAATTTTACCATAGAAAACTTCAGCTCGCAAAAACAATGGAGGTATGTCCAAGACCTTGCCAACAAATTTTGGAAAAGATGGATAAATGAGTTAGTCATTTTGTATTTTTTGCATTTCATTATGTTAAACATGCTGTATACAGCAAGAGAAGGAAGTAATGTCAACTTGTCAAATAAAAATATATAAATTCATATTGTTAAAAATAGATTTTATTGCAATTTACGACCGATACCAATTTATAGATACGCAGCAGACCGCTGCAACAATAGTGAATAATAGGTTGCTTATTATAACATTCTAAATTGTATTTTCAGATAGAGAGTTTATCTAAGAATGTGATCTACTGACTTGAACTTCAAATACTCACAGCCTGAACGTTTGTAAAAGTATAACAGCGCTGTTCTAAACTCAGTTAATCAGTTTTTATTACCCACCTTTTGCAGTTGGTTTCCCCTCAATGAAAACACCCTAAAGTTCTGCAACCAATGAGATCCCTCCAAATAAGAAATAGAAGTTACGGTGTTGTTGTCCAAATACAAGTCCCACAATGATTCGAACATCGGATTAGACTTCAAAGGTCTCAAATCGGTAATTTCGTTTCGCTCCAAATGCAAAATTCTGGTGTATAACGGTAGTTGAGTCGGTAGATCTTTAAGACCTCTTCCGGAACAGTTGACCATGATTATTGGGTGTTGCTGATCAGTGTGTAGGTCTTGAACCACGTTTTCCAAAGAGCAAGCGCACGATTTGGTGCAATTTCTGTACATTTCCTACAAAATAGTTGTAATTAGCAAGTTTATAAAATGAGTCAAATTATGAACCTAGCTCTATAGCTCTATATTGTTAATTTACGGTTAATTAAAAAAAAGTTAATCAGTGAAATTATTGTTTTGTATATGGCGTAATTTGTTCAATTCATTTATAAATATAGCATGATTTTCGCAGTCAGAAAGGGATGAAAAATTCGGATAATGCTCATTTAATTGATGAAAAGAGCCCGATTTTGTTTTCATTTGTTTCAAAAATACGTAAAAACCAATAAAGTTTTTTCCGCTTGTTTTGTTTTCTATTTGAATGCGTGAGTAGGTAATGTGAAAAGATGGCAAATATTTGAATTCATCAGGAAATTTTTTATGCAGTATAAAATATAACATTTCTCTCACTTATGAATGAAAAGTTAACATGTCTAACAGCAAAAAAAATGGAGCTACATAACATGTTTTTTTACCAAAAGCAAATAATGGGTTATGTGAATAAAAAGTAACAGAGGCTAACACTTAAGAACTTTGCAGTGAATAAAAGGTAGCTGTACCTGGCCCTATTCGCTCCGTGCGCGACAGCAGCGCCAATTTGTTTTGGTATTAAATGAGTATTTCTGCCTATACTGACAAATACAATTTTTAATAGAATTCGTAAATAAAAAGTATATATGTTAGTTTTAATAAAAGTATTTGGATTTATAAAACAATTAAAACATTAATTTATTATTATTATATATTTTTCACGCTTAAATTGAAGAAAATTATGTATAATCATTAAAAATCAATAATAAAATATAGGCAGACAACAGTATTTACTGGAAAATGTATGAGAAGTTGCCTAAGTCTAATAAGTTGTCATTGAAGAAACCATTTATAATAGCGTGAAGTTAAAATGTATAAAAAGGATCGCTACTTATATTTTCATTTTTGTTCTAAAGAAAACATAGAATGAATGATTAAAACAAAATTGCATACCAGCCAAATATTATAATCAACGGCAGAAATCTTGAAATCTAGTCCTTGCTGAATGAACATTTAAGAATAAAGGGATATTAAAGAACATCGTAAAATGATAATTTATTGTTTATTTAAAAACTTTCTAGTTTCTGATGTCTACTATTTCCAGCATTACTGTTATTATCACAAAAATAAAAGTAATTTTTTTTCTTATTGTACACCTATCCATTTATTTCTTTGATTTAATTTCCACTTTGTTAGTGAAATTTGTTATATAAGTTTCACTGTTTTTTTTTTGCTAGTATTTGTACAATTTTCAACACAGCAACTCCGGTTGCTTATTGTGTTGTTTTTACCTACTTTTTTGAAAAAAAGTAAAATGTATACGTGTATTTGATAGGCCAAAATTACAAAATATCCCCCTAAAATGCACGAATTATCCGCAGCTAGCGCTAGTATCGCTTTTGCTTCCCTTTCCATGACTTCGCACGGAGCGAATAGTTGCAACTAAAGTTTTTTCCAGTTTTGTAATTATAACTACATTTTTACCGTGAATAAAGCGCAAACACTCCCAATTTATTGCAGTTGCAACTTGACATTTTGTAAGTCTGAACGAGACCACACATAGATTTTTGTTATTTGTAAATGTCCTTACCATGGCGATTTTTATGCATGTGTGGGAAAGAAAAGTTTGTGGCAAAAGAAGATTAGTGACCAGATGTAAGGAGTTCAGAGCCGGCGGAAGAGCCGGGCGGCTGCCCGGGGCACCTAATGTAAGGGGCGCACAATCGACCAAAATTATTTTTTTAAAAATGAACTGACTGATACTACGAGATAAGACCTAAAAGTCCTCTGCGCGTCCAGCATTGGATCATCAAAAATAATTTCGGTTAAAGAGCAGAAAAAAGGTCGCGTTGGGTCAGAACAGTTATGGTACTTGCTCGATCTACATATAGAGGGTCACAGTGCAAAATTATAAAAACACCGTTTTATTATCCAAATTAAATAGTTTAAATTATTTTGGGTAAATATCAAATATTGTTCTGTTCATATTGACTGTAAATAACTAAAATGCAAAATAAAAACTTACGAAGTTCTGCACTGTGACCCTCGATATGTTCCTTTCACCGCCACTTAAGGAGCTAATGTGTTTTGAGGATACAAGTATTAACTTTATAACAGCAGAATTCTTGCCAGACATTAATGAAACTCGATGAAAAGCAGTGACTTCAAGAAATCGCATGGAAATATTTTTACGCTACTTGCTGACCCTGGTTTTAGAAGTGGAGTATCCGAAAATTTTGGAGTGGAACGATCATCAGTGAGTAAAACTATAAACTGTGTTATGGATCCTATTCTTGTGTGGGTACCAGGGCACAAAGGTATCCAAGGAAATTAAAAGGCTGATGAACTCGCCAAAAAGGGATCAGATCTACCATTCACAGGACCCGAACCTGTATTTGGGATAAGCAAAACAGATAAGAGGGCACAGAATCAGTAATCTCATGCTAAGGGGACCAAACCCACGCATGGCTACTGAGGCATTACAAGTCGCATGGCCTCAGATATCCACCATTGTGGGATTATTAACAGGACACTGCTTGCTGAAACACCTTCATGTAATGGGATTACACAATGATCCCACTACATGTAGACTTTGCATGGAAGAGGAAGAAACCTCATACCATGTGATCTTGGAATGCGAAGCTCTTACTAGACGACGTTTCATCCTTTTCGTCCTAGAACCGGAAAGAACGTCCCAGGAACACTTGGTAGGGAACCTATTAAAACTAACCAAAGACACAGGACTATTCCAAAGATAGTACCTGAATACGGGGAAAGCAGGGGAATACAGTAGACCCAAGAGGCCGCAGTATTCTGGGCCAAACCTAACCCTACCTGCTTACAACCGATAAAGATAAAGATTCTTGAAAAAGAGGTGAACAATGCAAAATTGTTATAGCAGGCACGATTTGATTGACTGTGGAGATTTGATTGTGTGAGCATTAAACTATTTACATATATAGATAAAAAAAAACCCATTTGTTGTTGGTGATGAGTACATTAATCGCAAAAGTTTCGGCCATTATTAATGTTCAAGCAACGTGTGATGTACAAGAAAGGTTTACAAACAATTGCGCGGAGTGGCTAGTGTTTGCACCGAATTAGACAGTAGTTTTAATTTTAAAACATATTGCGCCATCTCTCATATTGACTATTAAGTTCCGACTTTGCGAGTACCGTGAGGGATGTGACGATATGGGGTGCGAAGAGCAAACAAGAAAATAATTGAGAAACGAATCTGGAACGCGGCGAAAGCAAAATCCCGGTGCCAGTGTGCACCACTTTATTATTTTTAATAAGTGCCGATCTTTTCATCTCTGAGTAAAGTTACATGTAGGTTTACCTGACAGATTAACAAACAATAGCCGTATAGTTTAGTCAGCACGTAGTTACTTTCAACTTTACTCAGAGGTGAAAAGACTGCCCCTAAATCTAGTTTAAAAGTAATTTCTAGTGTTTAATTTAAAAGGGATCAAAATTCCGACAATTCGAAAAATAGATTCGGTTTTCATCGAATCAGCCAGGATCAGTACAGGATTCGAGAATATGGCAGTGCAGTGAAATTCGTGACATCATGTCTCAATATAACGGTAGAGCTTTCAAGCCAGTTCAAACTGTTATTGAGAGAAGATTCAATAGAAAACGCTCTTCAGAACGAGTGATAATAAAAAGATTATTTGGTCAGCTTCTCCATCTTAAGAAACTGTGCGAGTATGACTGAAGAGGTTAACTTCTAGCAATGCACAATATCGCCAAACAGCATTAGGACCAATTTGACTTTGAAGAAACTGGAAGGTAAAGAAGATGACGATGGATTAGAAGAGGGAGTTGACGGTTTCAGGATAAAAAATATAGATGTTTCTTTCTCACTCGTTCTAGATGTTTTTTTGGGATGCCGAATCCGAATTTCAACTACTCTACTTCCTACAGATATGGCTTCACAACGAAATTCGCAAAGAACCGTAAAATTATTAGGTATAGAATTTAAACTCAAAAAATTGTAAAAATTTACTACAAATATAAATGCAGCTTCGTATATTGGTATTTTCTTGAGATATAGAGAAGAGCGGTTCCCAAGTCCTCTGGTTTGATCTACTGCTGAATTGCATCGAACATTTTATTCAACCATTTCAAAAACAATAACTGCATCTGTCTGTACTTCGTTTGGTGTTTTTTTTTTACAAGTAAATCGAGTTCTTTTTGTTCGTTTTTCTTTGAATTTTCTGCAGCTGAAATTGTTGTAAGACAACGACTATCTACAGCTGAGATATTGACAAATCTCTTGTTTCTTCAGTTTTAAATGACAACAGGATTTGAATGCCTGGTCTTACATAGCTAGGTTCATTTCCTTTTACATTACTATTTTCAGATATTGTAGGTGAAGAACTTGAAGTATGGGCATCTCCACTAATGTTATGCTTGAAATAGTCATCTTTTTATGATGATGCTTTTTCTAATATCTCCGCTCCTGGAACTTTAGTGTAAACAGGATTATTTCTTCTGCACCCAATAATGCCAAAAATTGTTTCTCCCAATCTATCAATTTAATTTTATTGTTTCCTGTAGCTTTAATATCAGTTTTCTTTCTAATTAGAGCTTTCATGTTTTGTAAAATGTTATTCAATTGTGACGGGGTAACATCGATACATCGATTCGATTTACTGAAGAATATTCTTTACAGCCTGTTTCCCATGATTCCTTTTTATGTTCAACAATTTTTGGAATTCTAGATTGTTCCAGTAGCACTGGATGTTCTTTAATCAATTTTACAAACAAATCTCCATCTAAATTCTTCCTTTCAAACTCGTCTTCGCTCTCAGAAAACGATATGTATGTCAGAATAAAAACAGCAACCAAAAAGCTGAAAGAATACAAAACAAAACAAGTCTAACCACGTACTGTGAAAGTTAACAGCTAACAGCGAAAGAGAGGGGAAGTTCAACGAGTAACGTGCCTGTTCTCCTATTTTTTCGGTTAGCACTAACTCACAAGTAGTGACTACTACCTAGTGTTAGCATCTGCTTAATCACGTAAATTTCAGTTGACTCTATCACAGGACCCTAGATTCTAACACATAGATGCTAGTATCAGCATGCTACGTTTTATTCACATTAGCCATTGCCCTTTTAATATTCTACTGTACTAACCTGTTTGTAATTAGCAATCAATAATATATTTTTTCCGGCAAATCTTTCTTTACATGTAGCGTTTTTTAAATCATGAACTATTGTTTGATTTAGATGTAGAGCCCATGAGAGATCTAGTGCACAAATCCATGGATTATCTGAAAAGTTATTTATTATTATTTAGTTTCAATTTCTTATATCTGTATCAAAAAAAAAATGACCGACAAAGTCAGAGATATGAGTCATGCAAGTAATAACTACAAACTTGTATTAAAAAAGAAGAAGATTTCTTCTGGAATAAATTATGACTATGATAAGCATATATTTTGATAACCCCGAAAAAAATTTAAACTCAATTTAATATTCAGGTATTTTTGTTAAATAAAAATTAAATTGGATATGATATATAATAAATTGGAAATCATGTGGATAACGGAGGATAGGAAAAGCCCTTTTGCAATTTCAAATTATATTTCCATTTAAGTTCATCATTACGGTTTAAATAAATTTAATTCATACATATGGAATAAAATTGAGTACGGCAATCTTACAAGGTTTCCTACCCTAAAAAATATAAGCAAATTTTTAAAAACAAATTATTGGTCATGACTCACTTTTTATAGTCAACTTTTGAAGTTTTCCCATGTAAAAATTATCCTCCAAATTCGTCAGTAAATTGTTTTGTATGTTGAGTATTTCTAGGTTTGGAAAATTTTTTACGAAATCTTGAGGTAATTTTTTTAATTGATTATAACGCAGAGAGAGCTCCTAAAAACATTTAAAAAAAAAATCAATGACGAGACGTTAACGCGCTGCAATTGGTTGAAATCACCTTTAGTAATGTCATATTATTTTCATTTTAAATCAAATCAAATATTATACCATATTGTTATTATTAGTAGGAACCCGTTTCAATTTTTTCTTTGTTCTATGAAGAGATCGTACCTAGGCATATATGCCTGTATTGTGTAATCCCTTCTATAAGCAAAAAAACAAAAGGAAAAAATACAGTTAGAGGTATAATAGGTTATTTAAAAAATACAAAAATTTCAAAAATTAAAAATGATTCACCGTATTAAAAAGACAGCATAGATAATATTTTACAATTTTATTAAAATATTTCAAACATACCTGGGTTAGTTTGGATGGATCAATTTTTTAATTTCAGTTTTAAAGTTATATAATTTAGTTGTTTATTTTGTTATTAAAGGGAGAAAATTAAACAATTTGGGACCAAAATATGCTTGAAAGTGTGTACATTTTTCAGTTTGTGTGTGTTGTTGGCACCTACCTTGATTTTATTTGAGATTGTAGGCACAATGATAGTAGTTATGTCACTGTATTCCACAAATATCCTTTCGACATTAGGAAATTTGTTCAGTATATCATCGATTTCCAAATATTCCCACGTTATATTGGTTAAATATATTTCCGTAATATTACTGGAACCAGCAGACTTTTTTGGATAACTCCCGTTACATTTAAGTTCGGACGAACCTTTTAAAATTCTACAGTTATTGCTTGGACTGATTGCTTGTATTTGGATAAGTAGAAATAAAATGCTGTAACAGAATTTTTTTTTAATTCTATATTTTCAAAATTAAAGTTTTAGTAAAATGGTATTAAATTGTTCTTTAGGTTTGGGGGAAAATGTATATAAGTGGCAACATTGCAACATGACTAAACCATTTTGCTGTTAAAATTTTATCATATATTGTTATTAAAATTATTTAAGATATTTACATTTCTAACCAAATTCAAAAGTAAATAAAAACTCACCAAATATTGGAAGACTTAAACCCCATGTTCGTGGATTCACCAAAAAAATTAAATACTTAATACACGAAATTTTCCTGTTTATAATATTTCTCCAAACGTTGCTAATTTGTAGATCCAACAATCTAGTGGTATCAAAACATCTTCCATCATTGTAAAAATTTAATTTGCTTTTGAGATTTAATTAGAGCTTATGAAAATATTTTTAACTTCTGTTATTAGTCGGTGCTACCATAAAAATTTTATCTTTCAATTAGGTGTCGTTGTTCTTCCTGCTGTAATTATAAATAAATAAAAGAATAATCAAATGTTTAAGTAAATAATTAAATCTTCACATTTATAGTCTTATTGTTACATGCAAGGTGTGTCTTAAGTATCGTTTTTTTTACATCTTTATTTGTATAGAGGTAATCCAGATTTGATAATAGAGCGTAGATCATAGATAAAACAATAAGATACATGTTTTAAATATACGATACAGTCAACAAATCATTTATGGGTGGCCCTAGAAGTATGGTAGATTCCTCACTTTAAAATATTACGATTTAAACCAACTTGCTTAAATAAAATATTGCTAATAAGGAATATACAGAGTGTTAAAGGTTAAATTTTAAGATTTCTTTTTTGCAATAACTTTAACGTTTTTTGATATGTATACATAAAAATTTGAAAATAGAGATTTTTGGACACGAAAAATCATAATCTGGTACCTACTTATATGTTATTTGTAGAGGGCGCTACATAGGCTACATTTGTGGCATAAATGTGCCGTATTTTTTTTTGCTTTTTAATTTAGCGGTATTTTTGTAAAAAAATATTAAAGCTACGTTATTTTAATAGAAAAATAGTATGCTTGTTATTAACCTTAAAACTTAACGGTTTACGATATAATCGCATTTTAGGGATCAGCTGCATGATTATTATTGAAAACATTTAAAAAACAAATTAAGAAAAACTGAGCTAAATAACATTATAACTTTAATTGTGTGACATTAAATGTTCGATATGTCCCCCATTCTCGTCGATGCATTTATCTACACGTTTCATAAAAGATCGTCTCATATTAAACAGCATCATTGGATCTATTTATTTCTTCACAAAGTAATAATTATTCATTTCGGGAACTATTAACGTAAAGCATTTTTTGGCGTACTCCCGTTGATAAACAGTGACACAGAAACCGTGACATGTCAAATGCCCCCACTATCATGTCTCGGTTTCTAAAAAATTATTCGCAAAAATGAACCGGTTTACGTCAATCGTCAACGTTTTAGATAAACGAGGTTATGTTATGTGTATTTAAAAGGTATTTAACAATAAACAAACTGTGAAGAATCTAAAATTGTGGAAGACAGACAATTTTTCTTTTAAATAACAAATTCAAATAGAATTTAGAGACGAAAACTATTATACATAAAATAAAAATATGAACGCACAAAATAAAACGCAACCCTGGCAGCTACCAAAATTTCCAAAACAGAACGGTATTACAGAATGCTATGAACGTCAACTGTCACTATCAACCGTTTATTCACCACTTCAAGAGGCCAGGCGGTAGCAATGACGACAGTAAATGACGTCATTACACTTCCCCTTGAGCGGTTCACGTAGCGAAAATGATGCGGGTAATACCATTTGATCACCGGGGGTGTGTTTACTAACTTACTCCAGAGTTTATTTACTTACTATAGATGTTGGAAGAGCCATCTAGAGTTAACTCTGAAGTGTGTAAAAACTTGAAAATTTCTACTTTCGAATTAACTCTCCTGACTCTACTATCCGAGGAGAGTTTGTATTAACTCTGGCATCTGACATATTAATAATAACAAGACAAGGACGTAGTGACCTATCAATTTTGTGGTGTGGCTATGGTTTCTTTTTGGTTACAATGGAGGAATTTGATATTGTAAACGTAAATTCTAATTCGAAAATAAATGTATTGCCTATATGAATCTGGAGTAGCTAACAGCCAAAAATTGGGTTGTTACATCCACAATTGGCCTTCCTCTAAATTATTATTAGTTAAATGAGGGCCCACAATATTAATATTTTCGAATACATCTTTAGACATCCTAAAATAATTTTTGAATAAATAAATAAATCATATAACACATAATTTAGAAAATCGGTTCTTTTTGCAACCTGATTTCTCGTACGCATAATAAGAATATATTCTTCATTATCTGAAGTTTCATCACTGCTATCTTGAAATTTAAAGTTAAGATTAATTTAATAAATAAGATTCTACGTTTGTACTGTACACTGTATGTCGATTATAAATAGAGAATTAATAAAATAATGAATATCAAGTTACATTAAACAACTTCAACATGAAATTTCAAGCATTCAAAGCAAGCACTTTATTGTCCATTATGTCCATCGTCCATCCTAAAATTCTTAAGCGATATATATTATTTATTATTTTTGAAAGAAAAAAGAAGCTATTCACGAATCGGGATCGGTTGTTTTCGTGGTTATAACATAGCTATTTGACAGTAGACGTTGGAGTAATATTTTTAAACGCTTTTACTAATTGCTCGGAGCTTTTACTCATACAATTCGGGTTCATCTATATGAATCACGTGACTAAACTCTGACATAATTCTAGATTGAGCTCCGAGTAAGTTTATAAACACACCTCGGGAGCTCGCCAAAAATTGGTACTAGTAGGCGGATGCCACGAATGATTTTGATAGCAAAGCATTCGATTTGTTTCAATATTATGTCAGTCTTGTAATATTTAGTTTGCATTTATTTGGGTTAATTTTAAAAAAGCAGAAAATGCCGAGGCATAACAATTATTCTAATACAGATATGAGAGATATGGTTGCTATTTACTGTCAGCAAAATTTTAATGGGTGTGCTGCGAAACGAGAATATTTTACAAGATATCCAAACAGTCAGCAACCTAATCATCAAACATTCAAAAAGCTATTTAGGAATTTAGGCGAAAGTGGTTCGTTTCGTCCTAAGCGTAATAACTTAGGCCGACCAAGAATAATTACGCCTGATAAAGATGACGAAATAATGGTTCGCATTGAAGATGATCCTCAAGTTAGTATACGGTGTTTATCTGCTGCTTTAGAAATCAGTGAAACTTTTATTTTAAAAAGACTGCACCTCGAGAAGTATCACCCATACCATTTTACTCCGGTACAAAATTTATTGCCGGCAGATCTACCGTTAAGATACCAATTTGCAAGTGCTATCCGAAACAAGCAAAATCTTGATCACATCTTCGTCGACAGAATATTATTTACCGACGAAGCTACCTTCACTCGCCGTGGTATTTTTAATTTAAGGAACAATCATCTTTGGGCTATTAAAAATCCCCATGGTAAACGAGAAAGGCATTTCCAATATGAATTCAAAATAAACGTATGGTGTGATATCATTGGTAACAATTTCTTAGGACCATACGAGTTACCCCGTAATTTGAATAGTGAGAACTACTTACAATTTTTTCAAAATGATTCCATTAATCTATTGGAAGAATTGCCACTGAATATAAAACAAATTATGTGGTTCATGCAAATACGAGAGCAGTCAAAACATATTTAACAAACAACTTTCCTGAATGCTGGATTGGTCATGGTAGCTATTTCTCTTGGCCAGCACGTAGTCCAGACTTGAATCCTTTCGATTTTGGTGTATGGGGTGCAATGAAACAACTTGTTTATAAGGATCCCATAAATACCGGCTACCAACTTTGGGAAAAAATAAATAGAGCAGCGGGTGTTTTTGATCCATGGATGTTGTTTAATATGAGACGATCTTTTATGAAACATTTAGATAAATGCATCGACCAGAATGGAGGAGATATCGAACATTTAATGTGACTCAGTTAAAGTTATAATGTTATTTAGCTTAGTTTTTTTAATTTGTTTTCTAAACGTTTTCAATATTTATCATACAATTGATCCCTAAAATGCGATTATATCGTAAACCGTTAAGTTTTAAGGTTAATAACAAGTATACTTTTTTCTATTAAAATAACGTGGCTTTAATATTCTTTTACAAAAATACCGCTAACTTAAACAGCAAAAAAATGTATGGCACATTTATGCCACAAATGTAGCCTATGTAGCGCCCTCTACAAACTACATCGAAGTAGGTACCAGATTATGATTTTTCGTGCCCAAAAACTTCTATTTCCAAATTTTTATGTATACGTATCCAAAAACGTTAAATTTATTGCAAAAAAGAAATCTTAAAATTTAACCTTTAACACCCTGTATATTCCTTATTAGAAACATTTTATTAAAGCAAGTTGGTTTAAATCGTAATATTTTAAAGTGAGGAATCTACTATACTTCTATGTACAATTACTTAAGGACCACCCTGTATACATGATCAGTGTCGGATTGGGACCTCCAAAGCCTACCGGTTCAGGAGGGAGAAGGGGACACCTATTAATTTTTTGAATGGTGCGATTCATTGAAGAGCAAAAAAAGAACAAGGTACTCTTAGCACACATATGGTGCTTTTTCGGAGGTTGGCATTTGAATATTTATTCTTCTCGAGGGCCCACTGCTTGAATGAAGGCCTACCGGTCTTTCGACCGGTAGACCGACTGCCCAATCCGACACTGTACAGGGTGGGCAAATTTCGATGTTTTAATAGAGAATCTCGTTAAATATAAATGGTATGGAAAAATGCACCACCTATCCTCGATCTCTTTTTTTTTTTTGAGAACTTAATGACATTTTAAAAATTGGCTAGTATTTTGTATTCGAGTTATAAACAAAAGTTTGTTTTTTCAAATTTTCATTGTGTGGCATTATCTCGTTTATTTATGAAAGTGAAAGAAAATAATTTATACTTTATTTAGGCACTTTTTTGATAAGAATCCAGTTGGGCAGTCAATTTTTTTTTAAATTCTTCAAATTCGAGTTATTGCATAAAGTTGTATTTTTTTTATATGAAGCCTCCGGGGTACCTGGTGACCCCCCGGAGTAAGTAGCCTTACTGACGCATGCGGAGCAGCTCTGCGTTGGCGGATGGATTATCCCTAGCTTCTTGTGGAAACAAGATGGAAAATATACAAAACACAAAAAATTCTGATATGAATAAAACTAATGCAAAAGTCCTAACAAATAAAAAGATAGACGAGAAAGTGAACTATAATAGTGAACCGAAAAAGACCGAAAAAGAAATAGGGAAGAAACCCTTCCCAATGATGTAAATAAGAGGAAGAAGATACAAAAACCAGGTATGTCGTTTCTGACCAAGCCAAGCAAAGCACATATATCAATAAATCCACAAAATTGGCGTC